TCAGTAACATCTCCATATGTGAAATGTAAACATGGAGCATCCCAAAGAAGTGACTGAACATGTGAACTCTGTAAATAGTTTATTAGTAGTTCTAAGCATGTGTTTTCTATTGTCGAGTCCTAAATGCCTTTTTCAAACCTTTTGGAAAGAACTTTAGTGTGACGTCTTCGGCTGAGATAGAGACAATCAAACAGAAGCCCCGCGATCGCATCGAAGACCCGAGTGTACAGCTGTGTCTGTACCCTCTGTAACCGTGGAAACTGATCACGATCTGTAACCGTGGAAACTGATCACATCTGTAACCGTGGAAACTGATTCACATCTGGCGTTTCATGTTTCTGACAACAATCCACAATAGTACAACTGGAGTGGCCATATCTAGAAGCTAAGCAGGACAGGGACTGGGTAGTACTGTGATGGGAGACCTCTGGGAACAGCAGGGTGCCACAGTGGGGCGGAGATGCGGCTGTAAAGTGCCAAACTGTGGAGGCAAGATTCTGGGGAAGTGTCTTGCCTAAAAACACAACCAAACAATTAAAAAGCTTCAGATATTTTTTTGTTTTTTGTTAAACTTTTACATGACCTGAAAAAAAAAATCCAAGATAAGATAAGATCAAACTTTATTGAGACATTTACAAAATGGCCTGACTTCCAGTTTGTTTGTGGGCGTGGCCATGCTCAAAATACAAGTCACATGTTCTAAATCCAAGGCTGAAATAGGCTGGAATCGCAAAAAAGATACAATTTGGTGACTTTCCGTTGCGGTTCAGTGAAAATCTGTTGACAATCCTTGGAATTGTGGCTCCGCCCCTTCACTGTAATTGGCTCCGCCCCTTCACTGTCATTGGCGCCGCCCCTTCACTGTCATTGGCCTCCGCCCCTTCACATGCATTGGTTCCGCCCCTTCACTGTCATTGGCCCCGCCCCTTCACTGTCATTGGCCCCGCCCCTTCACTGTCATTGGCCCACACAGTAATAATGTCAGATTTTTGCACAACACACCCTCACGTGTTTAAACGATGTGTTGGGGTTAGTCTCTGTACGGGGACCTCTGCTTGGGAACCGCCTTCAGTTCCAAACGCCTGCACAGTGTCATTTGAATGCCAGATGTGAACAGGGCCCCTCCCTTCCTCGCTCGTGTACATACGCCCCCCCCCCCCCCACCCCCCCCCCCCCCCCCACCCCCCCCCCTCCAGTACAACACAAAGCAGTATATTCTTACTCATTAATAACATTCCTCTGTCCCCTCACGTTGCATGCTCGCCCTCTGCCATCAAAGCATGCGCCGCCGAGTCTGACACGAGAGGGGGCCGCGGGGTGAGCAGGGGGCTGGTTCCGGGGTGAGGGGGGGTGAGCACTTTCATCTTTCTACCTGTTTACACTGTATGAAGATTTGATGTGTGATTTTCAAAGGTTGTTAAGCACTTTTCAGATGTAGAGACAGCGACTGCCAATAAACTCACACTGTCGAAACGCTCCGGTGTCGGGGGATTATGTTTCTGATGCGGTCGTCATGGATACGGCGGCGTTTGAAAGTTTGCACACCCGGACAGAGAGGTGGTTGTTTGGGCCAGAAGATAACACACAACACTTTCTCCACACTCATCGTCTGTGGATGTGTGGAATGAGATCTCAGACGTGCACAACACACACACACACACACACTCACACACACACACACACCACACACACACACACACCACACACACACTACACCACACCTACACACACACACACTCACACACACACTTATTATTGGCCATAAAAATAAACATTAAACAAACTATTTTCACCTTTTAATAATATCTTGAATAGAAAATATGAGATCAAGGGTAAAAATGTTTTGATCACCTCCTTCTCACATTAGAATGAGTCTGGTGTGTATGTGTATGTGTGTGTGTGTGTGTGTGTGTGTGTGTGTGTGAATGGTTGGTGGTGGTGGGAGGGGCCGATGGCACAGACTGGTTGCCTCACTCCTGTCAGTGTGCCCCAGGGCAGCTGTGGCTACAGTAGTTTATGACCACTGTGTTTGCAGTGAAAGAATTCAAAGCCTCTGAGTGTTTTCTGTATAAAACCAATGCTTTAATATCATTAACAGCAGGAGTCCCATAGATCTGAAACTGAGCAGTCATTTTGACTGCTACATGGTTTCTTCACTCAGCAGCTCTACGTCAGCAGAGCATGTAGCTGTGTTCTTATATATATATAACTTATATAAATATTTAAAACAGCTAAATGTACATTATATGGACTATTATATGAATATATATATAGATATATATATATATATATATATATATGTATTATATATATATATATATGTTATGATATATATTATATATATATATGTATATATATATATATATATATATATATATATATATATATATATATGTATATATATATATATATATATATAATGTATATATATATATATATATATATATATATCTATATATATATATGTATATATTATATATATATATATATATATGTATATATATATATATATATATTTATATATATTATATATGTATAAGTATATATATATATATATATATATATATATATATATATGTATATATTATATATATATATATATATATATGTATATATATATATATATATATATATATATATATATATATATATGTATATATGAGTTTATCCTGACGTTCCTCTGTGGGGGAGTGGGTGGAGGAGTGGGTGGAGTAGCTCCACCACAGCTGGAGGCAGTCCCTAAACAACATGTTTGAAGTCTCTGAAACTAAAAAGGACTAAACCAGTGTTGTTAAAACCAAACATTTATCCTCATTACCATCCTCCTGTTTCTACATCCAGGCGTTACCGTGGCAACAACAGCCCACCACACGTGTAATTTATTCCAAAGATGAAACAATCGCAGTTGACCTAGATCAGGGCGGAACCAGAACCAGCCAATGAGAGACTGGTCTGTCCTGGTCCTTTACGGCTTCATGGTGCCACATTTCTCTGGTTTCGGCTTCTTGTAAAAACTTTTTTAGAGGAAGTGGTTGCTATGGCGAGGATGTGTGTGTGTGTGTTGTATGGTTGTTGAGCAGTGTGTACGTGTGTGTGTGTGTCTGTGTGTGTATAGTAGTTGATCAGTCCGTGTGTCTGTGCGTGTGTGTGTGTGTGTGTGTGTGTGTGTGTGTGTATGGTTGTTGAGTATTGTGTGTGTCTTTGCTTGTGTGTGTGTGTATAGTTGTTGAGCAGTGTGTGTGTCTGTGTGTGTATGGTTGTTGAACAGTGTGTGTATAGTTGTTGTGTACGCAGCATGGGGCCCTAAGCTCCAGCAGGACAGTTATCGTTTCACTGCAGCAGATTTTGGGCCAAACACACAAAGCTGGATCCACAACGTTTTTCATCCAACGCGACTCTTTTGGAGGAAGAAGACCATGATGTTTGTGACACATTACAGACGCAATCCACCTGCTGGGGTTCAGCTCGACACAGCACACAACACATCTGGATTTCCAAAGAGTCAAACAGATGACCTTTTTGCACTTTGCCTGTTTTTACGATGAAGTTGAGGAGGTTAGAAAAGTGTGGTGTAGATTTAGAATTTTCCAGAATCCTGTAGTCTCCAAAAACGAATAAATAATATTTTGGAGTGGACTGATAGAAATAGACCAATGGGATTCGTTAATCTCCAACGAACCAATGGGATGTGTTTACCGCCTTCACCCTCTTCCTGTTTCACAGAGTGCACCGGAGTTATTGGATTTTCTAAAACCTAAAATGGCTTGCTTCACTCTCCCTGTGACAAAGAAAAGAAAATGCTTGATGTTTGGTTTGGTGGAGAAGGAGGGGAGGGGGGAGTGGTTTGGTGGAGAGGGAGGGGAGGGGGGAGTGGTTTGGTGGAGAGGGAGGGAGGGGGGGGGGGTTTGGTGGAGAGAGGAGGGGGGAGTAGTTTGGTGGAGAGGGAGGGGAGGGGGAGTGGTTTGGTGGAGAGGAGGGGAGGGGGGAGTGGTTTGGTGGAGAGGGAGGGGAGGGGGGAGTGGTTTGGTGGAGAGGGGGGGGGGGGATGGTTTGGTGGAGAGGGAGGGGAGGGGGGAGTGGTTTGGTGGAGAGGGAGGGGAGGGGGGGTGGTTTGGTGGAGAGGGAGGGGAGGGGGGAGTGGTTTGGTGGAGAGGGAGGGGAGGGGGGAGTGGTTTGATGGAGAGGGGAGGGGGGGGTGGTTTGGTGGAGAGGGGGGAGGGGGGAGTGGTTTGGTGGAGAGGGAGGGGAGGGGGAGTGGTTTGGTGGAGAGGGGAGGGGAGGGGGGAGTGGTTTGGTGCTAGGGCTAAGCTAACAAAATGGCTGCATCTTTAAACTTTGGTTCACATTTCTGTTTCAGTGAAATAATTAAAAACCAAATACGTTAAACTTTAACAATCCGTGTACCCTTCGATGCAGTGGAAACAAACACTACTAAAACAACTTCCATTATTTTGTTTGATGGTGAGAGACGGAAACAACTGCAAGCTGCACTCAACTCAACTCAACTACACCACAACAACTCGCGCTGTTGTTGAGCCCGCCCCCAGGCCCGAGCTCCAGGCACGAGCTCCAGGCCCGAGCTCCAGGCCCGAGCTCCAGGCCCGAGCTCCAGGCCCGAGCTCCAGGCCCGAGCTCCAGGCCCGAGCTCCAGGCCCGAGCTCCAGGCACGAGCTCCAGGCCCGAGCTCCAGGCCCGCCCCCAGGCCGAGCTCCAGGCCCGAGCTCCAGGCCCGAGCTCCAGGGGCAAAATAATTACAGCACCTGGTATTCCCAGGCGGTCTCCCATCCAAGTACTAACCAGGCCCGACCTAGCCAAGCTTCCGAGATCAGACGAGATCGGGCATTCTCAAGGTGGTATGGCCGTAAGCACGGGGGTATGGAGCAGCGTGCCTCCTGACCCTGCTGCTGCGGTCCTCTCCTCCCCCAGAATGAGCGCTCTTGGGCGGATGGCAGGCGCGCGGTCCCCCGGTGGTTTCCAAGGGTCATAACTTTCTGGTCCTTTGTCCCCCGCGCGTCAAATTCACACTGCGGGTAGCCCGGGACCAGGGGAGTCCCCGTGTCTCTACCCCCTTGGGCTCGGCTTTGAGGATCCCGGAAAGCGGGGCATCCTTCCCCCGGGAATGAGCGCTCAGGCCCGGGTCTGAGCGGGAGGACTCCCCGTCCCGGTGATAGCCCAGAACCGGAGGAGTGCGTGGGTGAAAACCCCGTGTCTATAGCCCCTATGGTTCGTTTCGAGCCCTGAAAGCCAAGGTTCTCCTCCCCCAAAATGAGCGCTCATGGGCGGATGGGAGGCGTGCGGTCCCCCGGTGGTTTCTGGTCCTTTGTCCCCCGCGCGTCAAATTCACACCGCGGGTGCCCCGGGACCAGGGGAGTCCCTGGGTCCCACCCCCGCGTCTGTAGCCCCCCTGGCTTGGCTTTGAGGAGCCCGCGAGGTCTCTTCTCTCTTCCGGTGTCGCAAACAATAATAAAACGAAATAATAGTAATGCCATAATTCTTTTGAGAATTTTAAACAACTAGAGCCAAAACAAACACATATTGAAGCATAAAGGATTTATTTTTTTATTCAAGTTTAGAAAAGGAAAAGAACAATAAACGAATGGAAATTTTGATTTTTTTATTTTATTTTGAAACGGAATAACTAATGATCGAAGGGTACACGGATTTTTAACAACAGAAAATGGTTTGGAATGAACTTGGAAATGAAAAAGGTGGTTTGCATAAAATGTTCAAAATAGTCATTCTTGAACTAATCGTGTTTTAATCAAATAAACGTTGTCGTCTCCGTGACTATAAACCGTCTCCGGCGCCACATTTAGAAGCAGAAACTTTATCAATAAACACAGACCCTGCAGCTGCTCCAGACCCTGCAGCTGCTCCTGTCGTGATCCATATCTTTAATATCATAATATCATTTACGCCGCGGTGAGACGGCTCCACCTGCAAACATTCATGTGGGGAAAGAGTGACGGGAAAGAACAAGTGTCGTGCTGGAAGTCGGGCTTTGGAAACCGATACTTTGTGGAAATGGGACTTTTGGGGGGGGGGATCTGGAGCAGGGCACTCGCTCTGGTTAATGTTGAAGACAAAGGTGGGGTATGTATTAGAGCCGGGGGGGGGGGGTGAATACAGACCCTCAATGTACAGTAAGTGTCTTAAGAAATGGGACTCGACCTCAAAACGACGTGGTTCATGGCCGCTGTCTCATGTCGCAGGTAAACATGGGTTTCCTCTCTCTCCTCTCTCTTACTTTTTAATTTTAGGGCAGAACGGTGGCTGAGTGGTTAGCAGTCTCGCCTCTCAGCAAGAAGAGGAAGAAGTCCCTCTCCTCCCAGTCCCTCTCTCCTCCCAGTCCCTCTCTCCTCCCAGTCCCTCTCTCCTCCCAGTCCCTCTCTCCTCCCAGTCCCTCTCTCCTCCCAGTCCCTCTCCTCCCAGTCCCTCTCTCCTCCCAGTCCCTCTCCTCCCAGTCCCTCTCCTCCCAGTCCCTCTCTCATCTCAGTCCCTCTCCTCCCAGTCCCTCTCTCATCTCAGTCCCTCTCTCATCTCAGTCCCTCTCCTCCCAGTCCCTCTCCTCCCAGTCCCTCTCCTCCCAGTCCCTCTCCTCCCAGTCCTCGGCTCTCTCTCTGTTTTGAAGCAGCAGCTCCACATGTAGCCTCTGTATCCAGGAGGAAAGCCCATGCACCTCTCCCCATGCACCTCTCCCCATGCACCTCTCCCCATGCACCTCTCCCCATGCACTTCTCCCCATGCACCTCTCCCCATGCACTTCTCCCCATGCACCTCTCCCCATGCACTTCTCCCCATGCACCTCTCCCCATGCACGTCTCCCCATGCACCTCTCCCCATGCACTTCTCCCCATGCACCTCTCCCCATGCACCTCTCCCCATGCACTTCTCCCCATGCACCTCTCCCCATGCACCTCTCCCCATGCACGTCTCCCCATGCACCTCTCCCCATGCACCTCTCCCCATGCACTTCTCCCCATGCACCTCTCCCCATGCACATGCAGCAGATCGCATTAACCTATTTTGCTCTGAGTAATAGTTCCATGGCTGACGGCGGCTCTCTGCTCTGGGGTCAGGGAGCAGCGGAACATGGACACAAACATGATGCAAATATGAGAAATGTTTAACTCTAAATGAAGCCTTTACCAGAGAGAGACCAGAGAGAGACCAGAGAGAGACCAGAGAGAGACCAGAGAGAAACCAGAGAGAGACCAGAGAGAGACCAGAGAGAGACACCAGAGAGAGACCAGAGAGAGACCAGAGAGAGACCAGAGAGAGACCAGAGAGAGACCAGAGAGAAACCAGAGAGAGACCAGAGAGAGACCAGAGAGAGAGACCAGAGAGAGACCAGAGAGAGACCAGAGAGAGACCAGAGAGAGACCAGAGAGAGACCAGAGAGAAACCAGAGAGAGACCAGAGAGAGACCAGAGAGAGAGACCAGAGAGAAACCAGAGAGAGACCAGAGAGAGACCAGAGAGAGACCAGAGAGAGAGACCAGAGAGAGACCAGAGAGAGACCAGAGACTCTCTCAGTAGTAGCAAATAAGTAATCTTTATTTATATAGTGCCTTTCAGAGACCAGAGTCACAAAGCGGTTTACAATTGTTGTTATTAGTCTCTCACTCCACACAGAGATGGGAGGGGCCAGTACAGGAGGCACATGTTTTTAGTGGTAGGGGAAACCGGAGTACCTGGAGAAAACCTATGCAGACACAGGGAGAACATGCAAACTCCACTCAGAAAGGCCCTGGTCCGGCCGGGATTTGAACCCAGGACCTTCTAGCTGAGAGGCAAGAGTGCTAACCACTCAGCCACCGTGCTGCCGTTAAGCAGCAGTAAAAACATTAGTTGTTGACTCTCTTGAAAACAAAAGTAAAATTAAACTTTGGAGCTCTGTAATAAACACATGTCAGAACTGAAGAAGAGAACACCCCCTCACTCATGGTCCATGATGTCACATGGTTCACTCATGGTCCCATCATGATGTCACATGGTTCACTCATGGTCCATGATGTCACATGGTTCACTCATGGTCCCATCATGATGTCACATGACCCACTCATGGTCCCATCATGATGTCACATGACTCACTCATGGTCCCATCATGATGTCACATGACTCACTCATGGTCCCATCATGATGTCACATGGTTCACTCATGGTCCCATCATGATGTCACATGGTTCACTCATGGTCCATGATGTCACATGGTTCACTCTCGGTCCCATCAGGATGTCACATGACTCACTCATGGTCCCATCAGGATGTCACATGACTCACTCATGGTCCCATCATGATGTCACATGGTTCACTCATGGTCCCATCATGATGTCACATGGTTCACTCATGGTCCATGATGTCACATGGTTCACTCTTGGTCCCATCAGGATGTCACATGACTCACTCATGGTCCCATCAGGATGTCACATGACTCACTCATGGTCCCATCAGGATGTCACATGACTCACTCATGGTCCCATCAGGATGTCACATGACTCACTCATGGTCCCATCAGGATGTCACATGACTCACTCATGGTCCCATCATGATGTCACATGGTTCACTCATGGTCCCATCATGATGTCACATGACTCACTCAGCTGGTCCATGATGTCACATGGTTCACTCATGGTCCATGATGTCACATGACTCACTCAGCTGGTCCATGATGTCACAAGGTTCACTCATGGTCCATGATGTCACATGACTCACTCATCTGGTCCATGATGTCACATGACTCACTCATGGTCCATGATGTCACATGACTCACTCAGCTGGTCCATGATGTCACATGACTCACTCAGCTGGTCCATGATGTCACATGGTTCACTCATGGTCCATGATGTCACATGACTCACTCAGCTGGTCCATGATGTCACATGACTCACTCATGGTCCATGATGTCACATGGTGATGTCACATGACTCACTCATGGTCCATGATGTCACATGACTCACTCATGGTCCATGATGTCACATGACTCACTCAGCTGGTCCATGATGTCACATGGTGATGTCACATGATTGGTTTGTTTCTCAGTGCGATTGACTTTTACGAGCGAGATAAAAAAGGTCCCCCAGCTTTAAAGCCGGAGCTGGTTCTCCTCAAATCAAACACATTCAAATGTTTTTCTTCTTTTATTCATGTAATATTCACTCTGACCTCACAGAAGAACGTTATCGGTTCGACTCCCGCTCACACGTTCTAACCCTCGTGCCGTGGAGCAACACACTTTTGTGTGTGTTCAAAAACCTTCCTAAAGTCAACCTTGTTTGTCTCTTTGATCTCCGTCTTGATCTGTGTGTGGGGGGGGGGGGTGGTTTCTCAGCCTCCGTTGCCATGGGACACCGTTACCATGGCGCCCGTCACAAGAAGAAGAAGAAGAAGAAGAAGAAGATTATGGAGCAGAGGATTATGTTTGGGAAAGAACAGAGTTACAAATATACAGTTTGCAAATTGCCTGAAAAGGGTAAAATACAGGTCAAAAACAACACAGAGCACGTTGGAGCAACACTCTGTCCATGAGCACTTCCCTATTGGGCTTCATTAAGTTAGAAGGTTAGCCTTGTCCATCTCCAACTGACCCCGGGTCTCACCAGGACCAAACCATGACCATTCAGACCAACCAGGACCAAACCAAGTCTAAACCAAGTCTAAACCAGGTCTAAACCAGGTCTAAACCAGGACAAAATCACTTCTAAACCAGGTCTAAACCAGGACTCAGTTTAGTCTAAACTAGATCTAAACTAAGACCAAACCAGGTCCACCCCAGGTCTAAACTAGGATCAAACCCCTTCAAAAGTTTTTAAGGTGGAAAATCATCTCCAAGCGTTTGTTGCGCTGAAAGAGCCTGATTAAAATTCTGTGTTTTTCTTCTTTCCGTAACATTTGCAGCTTGTTCTCGAGGGCGAACAGATGCTGCAGGACAATGTTACACACAATACGTCTGCGCCTCTTCACACGGACACGGCGGCGGCGGCGGTGGGGGCGGGGGGGTCAGGGTCAAGTGGGGAACGGGTGAGATGTGGTTATGGCGCTGTGCGGGATTCTCGTGGTGACTTATTACTGGAGGAATGATGTTTATTGTTCCACTGAGACGAGGATGAAATGGTTCAAACTGTTTCTGGTACGTTTTAAACAAACGTCAAAAAAACACCATAAAAAGTATTATTTTGAGTTAAAAGTCACAGTCCAAACGGAACTGTTCCACCGGTTCTTTAACGATCAAAACATTTCTATTTTGAATCTGTGTGTATTCAAAGTAGATTTAAAAACACACGGACGATTTTATTGATTGAACATGTTTTTAGAGGTAGGGAAAATTGGAGCACCCGGAGGAAACCTATGCAGACACAGGGAGAACATGCAAGTCCACTCTGAAAGACCCTGGCCTGAAATTGCCTTAAAATGAGACACACACATCAGGTCTGAGTGAGATATTGGGACCTACAGTATAACATGAACTTCAGCTCTGAGAGTTCCACCTTTCACTCTGTAGGTGGACAAATACATTTAGACTTTATTTTAGAATTATTTATTTTTATACATGTTTGCATTTTTGACAACTCCATTTTGTTTTTGTTTTTGATATTTAAAATCTTTATTTAAACCATTTAAACATGATTTCCTCCTACTCCTACTGGAGTTATGAATATTTTTAAGGGAACCTTATGTACATTTTTTTAGTGTTAACGGAAACCAGAGTACCCGGAGACAAGGAGAACATGCAAGCTCCACTTCGAAAAGCCCCTTCTGGCTGAAAGATTTTTTTGTTTACAGTCACTCACTAGTATTGAATAGTAAAGGTAGTAGTAGTCGTAGTTTTAAATTAGCTTGAGCCAATATTTTGGCTATTCTACCCACCTCTTGGAATGTATTTAAGTTTGGGACAAAATAGGTGAAATTATAGGTCAAGTGTGTGTGTTTAAAGTGTGTTAAGGTAGTGCCGTGCACGACCACAGGGGGCGTATCAAACATTTTGGGACGGAGTGTTTCGGCCCCGACACAAATTCTCTATATTTGTAGACATTTTGGGACATGCTTGATTTTTGGTGTGGAGCTTACTTTGGCCCGCTGCAAAACTGCAGTATGCATGGAAAAATGTGGACCTGAAAAAAGTCCCCATTTTTCCTCAGGTCCCCATATTGAAGGTGTGTTTTCATACAAAAGTCCTCATATGTAGACAAAACAAACGCAAACAAACACACGTTCAAGGAAAACAACACTATAAAAAATAATGAAGTATGAGACAGCAAATGTGAGAGATTGCTCCTCAGAGTCCCAGCAGGAGGCCAGTCCCTGTGCTCCTCAGAGTCCCAGCAGGAGGCCAGTCCCTGTGCTCCTCAGAGTCCCAGCAGGAGGCCAGTCCCTGTGCTCCTCAGAGTCCCATAGGCCAGTCCCTGTGCTCCTCAGTGTCCCAGCAGGAGCCCAGTCCCTGTGCTCCTCAGAGTCCCAGCAGGAGGCCAGTCCCTGTGCTCCTCAGAGTCCCAGCAGGAGGCCAGTCCCTGTGCTCCTCAGAGTCCCAGCAGGAGGCCAGTCCCTGTGCTCCTCAGAGTCCCAGCAGGAGGCCAGTCCCTGTGCTCATCAGAGTCCCAGCAGAAGGCCAGTCCCTGTGCTCCTCAGAGTCCCAGCAGGAGGCCAGTCCCTGTGCTCCTCAGAGTCCCAGCAGAAGGCCAGTCCCTGTGCTCCTCAGAGTCCCAGCAGAAGGCCAGTCCCTGTGCTCCTCAGAGTCCCAGCAGAAGGCCAGTCCCTGTGCTCTTCAGAGTCCCAGCAGAAGGCCAGTCCCTGTGCTCCTCAGAGTCAAAGTAGGAGACCAGTCCCTGTGCTCCTCAGAGTCAAAGTAGGAGACCAGTCCCTGTGCTCCTCAGAGTCCCAGCAGGAGGCCAGTCCCTGTGCTCCTCAGAGTCCCAGCAGGAGACCAGTCCCTGTGCTCCTCAGAGTCAAAGTAGGAGACCCAGTCCCTGTGCTCCTCAGAGTCCCAGCAGGAGGCCAGTCCCTGTGCTCCTCAGAGTCCCAGCAGGATTCCAGTCCCTGTGCTCCTCAGAGTCCCAGCAGGAGGCCAGTCCCTGTGCTCCTCAGAGTCCCAGCAGGAGTCCAGTCCCTGTGCTCCTCAGAGTCCCAGCAGGAGTCCAGTCCCTGTGCTCCTCAGAGTCCCAGCAGGAGGCCAGTCCCTGTGCTCCTCAGAGTCCCAGCAGGAGTCCAGTCCCTGTGCTCCTCAGAGTCCCAGCAGGAGGCCAGTCCCTGTGCTCCTCAGAGGCCCAGCAGGAGTCCAGTCCCTGTGCTCCTCAGAGTCCCAGCAGGAGGCCAGTCCCTGTGCTCCTCAGTGAGTCATAAACATGTTTTGAAAAGACCAAATCAGATCATTTTAAAACCTTTAGTTTAACAGTTAAAAAGTTAAAACTCATCAATATCTGAAAAGAAAGAGTTTGAATAATCCCTGGTTTATCTGATGAGTGGGCGACAGCGGCTCAGACTTCAGACCTTTCAATCTGTGCCACAAATATTGACTCTTCCAGATTGTTCTGATGTTTTACCAGTAAACGACAGACTCCTCCTCCGCACCATGTGTTTATTTAAAGACTGTTGCTGGTGCAGACCAGAAGACCCACAGTCAGAGCGGCACCATGAAGGTAAGCACCAGAACCAGGTCCATCCGCACCATGTGAACCGGGCTGATCTTATAATAGGTCCATGAAACTGTCTGGAAAATGGTAGAATAGTCTCTGAAAATCTGGTTTTCTACTTTGGCCTTTTCTCTCCACATTTGTTTTTATGTAATGCTCCTGAAGCAAAGCAGGGCCCAGGGATATTATTTTATCATCCATATTTTATTTTGGATCGTACCGCACCATGGTACTCATTTCATTTGGTACTAAGGTCTGGATTTGCTCCATTGACTCCGTGAACAGGTGGGAGGGTAGAGCTGCAACTAACGATTATTTTGTAATCGATTAATCTATTGATTTACGATTAATCGAGTAATCGCTTGGCTGTGAATTGTGTAGAAAAAAAATATTTTTTCATCACAAAAAGCTAAAGTGGCAACACTCGAGGACGTATTGAGGCGTAAACTTAAAGTAAATGTTTGTAACAGGCTCTTTGTGCTAATTCTGCTCTGATTGGATGAGACACAGATATTCATGAAATTATAAAAACAAAGTCGGTTTTAATCAAAAATACTACATTTTCATGTCATTTTTGCTCTGTTTGAGTCCGTGTGAACCAGAAAACGATTAATCGATTACTAAAATAGTTGTCGACTATTTCAATAATCGATTAGTCGTCGATTAATCGATTAGTTGTTTCAGCCCTATGGGAGGGGCTAACTCCTTTTGCAGATTGAAACCATTGGATCTGAGTTTACTGTGACGTATGTAAATGAGTAAGGCATTTAGCATTTAGCCTAGCTTTAGCATGTAGCCTAGCTTTAGCCATCTCCTTTGCCACTAACGGAGCCCGTGGGGAGTAGAGCCACAACATTTTTGCTTCAATGACATTTACTAAACATTCCTCTTGCTCCGGCTTCAGTTTCTTGATATTTGGATTGAACCAGAACAGATTATTTTACTATCACAGTCTCCATGGTCCAGAGTTTACACATGGTAAGACCAGACGTACATGTAGGAGATGATCATGGACCAGAGTTTACCAGCTGTAGTTGTTGCAGATGTACAGATGCTAACAGCTGTAGTTGTTGCAGATGTACAGATGCTAACGGCTGTAGTTGTTGCAGATGTACAGATGCTAACAGCTGTAGTTGTTGCAGATGTACAGATGCTTACGGCTGTAGTTGTTGCAGATGTACAGATGCTTACGGCTGTAGTTGTTGCAGATGTACAGATGCTTACGGCTGTAGTTGTTGCAGATGTACAGATGCTAACAGCTGTAGTTGTTGCAGATGTACAGATGCTTACGGCTGTAGTTGTTGCAGATGTACAGATGCTTACGGCTGTAGTTGTTGCAGATGTACAGATGCTAACAGCTGTAGTTGTTGCAGATGTACAGATGCTTACGGCTGTAGTTGCTGAAGATGTACAGATGCTTACGGCTGTAGTTGTTGCAGATGTACAGATGCTTACGGCTGTAGTTGTTGCAGATGTACAGATGCTTACGGCTGTAGTTGTTGCAGATGTACAGATGCTTACGGCTGTAGTTGTTGCAGATGTACAGATGCTTACGGCTGTAGTTGTTGCAGATGTACAGATGCTTACGGCTGTAGTTGTTGCAGATGTACAGATGCTTACGGCTGTAGTTGTTGCAGATGTACAGATGCTTACGGCTGTAGTTGTTGCAGATGTACAGATGCTTACGGCTGTAGTTGTTGCAGATGTACAGATGTTTACGGCTGTAGTTGTTGCAGATGTACAGATGCTAACAGCTGTAGTTGTTGCAGATGTACAGATGCTTACGGCTGTAGTTGCTGAAGATGTACAGATGCTAACAGCTGTAGTTGTTGCAGATGTACAGATGCTAACAGCTGTAGTTGTTGCAGATGTACAGATGCTAACAGCTGTGGTTGTTGCAGATGTACAGATGCTTACGGCTGTAGTTGCTGAAGATGTACAGATGCTAACAGCTGTAGTTGTTGCAGATGTACAGATGCTTACGGCTGTAGTTGCTGAAGATGTACAGATGCTAACAGCTGTAGTTGTTGCAGATGTACAGATGCTAACAGCTGTGGTTGTTGCAGATGTACAGATGCTAACAGCTGTAGTTGCTGAAGATGTACAGATGCTTACGGCTGTAGTTGTTGCAGATGTACAGATGCTTACGGCTGTAGTTGTTGCAGATGTACAGATGCTTACGGCTGTAGTTGTTGCAGATGTACAGATGCTTACGGCTGTAGTTGTTGCAGATGTACAGATGCTTACGGCTGTAGTTGTTGCAGATGTACAGATGCTTACGGCTGTAGTTGTTGCAGATGTACAGATGCTTACGGCTGTAGTTGTTGCAGATGTACAGATGTTTACGGCTGTAGTTGTTGCAGATGTACAGATGCTAACAGCTGTAGTTGTTGCAGATGTACAGATGCTTACGGCTGTAGTTGCTGAAGATGTACAGATGCTAACAGCTGTAGTTGTTGCAGATGTACAGATGCTAACAGCTGTAGTTGTTGCAGATGTACAGATGCTAACAGCTGTGGTTGTTGCAGATGTACAGATGCTTACGGCTGTAGTTGCTGAAGATGTACAGATGCTAACAGCTGTAGTTGTTGCAGATGTACAGATGCTTACGGCTGTAGTTGCTGAAGATGTACAGATGCTAACAGCTGTAGTTGTTGCAGATGTACAGATGCTAACAGCTGTGGTTGTTGCAGATGTACAGATGCTAACAGCTGTAGTTGCTGAAGATGTACAGATGCTTACGGCTGTAGTTGCTGAAGATGTACAGATGCTTACGGCTGTAGTTGTTGCAGATGTACAGATGCTTACGGCTGTAGTTGTTGCAGATGTACAGATGCTTACGGCTGTAGTTGTTGCAGATGTACAGATGCTTACGGCTGTAGTTGTTGCAGATGTACAGATGCTTACGGCTGTAGTTGTTGCAGATGTACAGATGCTTACGGCTGTAGTTGTTGCAGATGTACAGATGCTTACGGCTGTAGTTGTTGCAGATGTACAGATGCTTACGGCTGTAGTTGTTGCAGATGTACAGATGTTTACGGCTGTAGTTGTTGCAGATGTACAGATGCTAACAGCTGTGGTTGTTGCAGATGTACAGATGCTTACGGCTGTAGTTGCTGAAGATGTACAGATGCTAACAGCTGTAGTTGTTGCAGATGTACAGATGCTTACGGCTGTAGTTGCTGAAGATGTACAGATGCTAACAGCTGTAGTTGTTGCAGATGTACAGATGCTAACAGCTGTAGTTGTTGCAGATGTACAGATGCTAACAGCTGTAGTTGTTGCAGATGTACAGATGCTAACAGCTGTGGTTGTTGCAGATGTACAGATGCTTACGGCTGTAGTTGCTGAAGATGTACAGATGCTAACAGCTGTAGTTGTTGCAGATGTACAGATGCTTACGGCTGTAGTTGCTGAAGATGTACAGATGCTTACGGCTGTAGTTGTTGCAGATGTACAGATGCTTACGGCTGTAGTTGTTGCAGATGTACAGATGCTTACGGCTGTAGTTGTTGCAGATGTACAGATGCTTACGGCTGTAGTTGTTGCAGATGTACAGATGCTTACGGCTGTAGTTGCTGAAGATGTACAGATGCTTACGGCTGTAGTTGTTGCAGATGTACAGATGCTAACAGCTGTGGTTGTTGCAGATGTACAGATGCTAACAGCTGTAGTTGTTGCAGATGTACAGATGCTAACAGCTGTAGTTGTTGCAGATGTACAGATGCTAACAGCTGTAGTTGTTGCAGATGTACAGATGCTAACAGCTGTGGTTGTTGCAGATGTACAGATGCTTACGGCTGTAGTTGTTGCAGATGTACAGATGCTAACGGCTGTAGTTGCGGAAGATGTACAGATGCTAACAGCTGTAGTTGTTGCAGATGTACAGATGCTAACAGCTGTGGTTGTTGCAGATGTACAGATGCTAACAGCTGTAGTTGTTGCAGATGTACAGATGCTTACGGCTGTAGTTGTTGCAGATGTACAGATGCTTACGGCTGTAGTTGTTGCAGATGTACAGATGCTTACGGCTGTAGTTGTTGCAGATGTACAGATGCTTACGGCTGTAGTTGTTGCAGATGTACAGATGCTTACGGCTGTAGTTGTTGCAGATGTACAGATGCTTACGGCTGTGGTTGTTGTACAGATGCTTACGGCTGTAGTTGTTGCAGATGTACAGATGCTTACGGCTGTAGTTGTTGCAGATGTACAGATGCTTACAGCTGTAGTTGCTGAAGATGTACAGATGCTAACAGCTGTGGTTGTTGCAGATGTACAGATGCTAACAGCTGTAGTTGTTGCAGATGTACAGATGCTAACAGCTGTAGTTGTTGCAGATGTACAGATGCTAACAGCTGTAGTTGTTGCAGATGTACAGATGCTAACAGCTGTAGTTGTTGCAGATGTACAGATGCTAACAGCTGTAGTTGTTGCAGATGTACAGATGCTAACAGCTGTAGTTGTTGCAGATGTACAGATGCTAACAGCTGTAGTTGTTGCAGATGTACAGATGCTTACGGCTGTAGTTGTTGCAGATGTACAGATGCTTACGGCTGTAGTTGTTGCAGATGTACAGATGCTTACGGCTGTAGTTGTTGCAGATGTACAGATGCTTACGGCTGTAGTTGTTGCAGATGTACAGATGCTAACGGCTGTAGTTGTTGCAGATGTACAGATGCTTACGGCTGTAGTTGTTGCAGATGTACAGATGCTTACGGCTGTAGTTGTTGCAGATGTACAGATGCTTACGGCTGTAGTTGTTGCAGATGTACAGATGCTTACGGCTGTAGTTGTTGCAGATGTACAGATGCTTACGGCTGTAGTTGTTGCAGATGTACAGATGCTTACGGCTGTAGTTGTTGCAGATGTACAGATGCTTACGGCTGTAGTTGTTGCAGATGTACAGATGCTTACGGCTGTAGTTGTTGCAGATGTACAGATGCTTACGGCTGTAGTTGTTGCAGATGTACAGATGCTTACGGCTGTAGTTGTTGCAGATGTACAGATGCTTACGGCTGTAGTTGTTGCAGATGTACAGATGTTTACGGCTGTAGTTGTTGCAGATGTACAGATGCTTACGGCTGTGGTTGTTGCAGATGTACAGATGCTTACGGCTGTGGTTGTTGCAGATGTACAGATGCTTACGGCTGTGGTTGTTGCAGATGTACAGATGCTTACGGCTGTGGTTGTTGCAGATGTACAGATGCTTACGGCTGTGGTTGTTGCAGATCTGCAGGGTCCTAGTGCCCCTGGCCACAGTCCTGCTCCTCAGTGCGGTCCTCAGTCTCCCTGTCGCAGACTCAGACCTGGACGACGAGTTCAACAAATGGAAGATCACCCACGAGAAAGTCTACGCCACACCGGTCAGTAACTCTCTCTTCACGTCACAAAGCTTCTCCTGTCACTTTTATTCTATATTTTTATTTAACATCAAACGGTAAATGCAACTCTTCCCTTCACGTCAGGTCTTTGGGGTCCATTTGTTTGGATATAAGAGAAAATCCTCACTCGACCTGTGACGTGAAAATCTCATGTCAAATTAACTTTATGAATGACTTTATACTGAGAGAACCCAGACTCCTGTGGGGAGAAAGTCACCTCATTAAGAGACTTGTTGGAAGTTAATGGCAGACAATATGCATTAATATGTGAACTGAAAGGATTTGTTATGCCATAAGAGTAAAGAACAGAAGATATTACGCTGCAGGCTGCACCTCCAGTACATTTCTGTGTTTGTGCATGTATCTGTGTGTATGTATGTGTGTGTGTATGTGTGTATATAGTTGTGTGTGTATGTGTGTATATAGTTGTGTGTGTATATAGTTGTGTGTGTGTATGTGTGTATATAGTTGTGTGTGTGTACGTGTGTATATAGTTGTGTGTGTGTACGTGTGTATATAGTTGTGTGTGTGTACGTGTGTATATAGTTGTGTGTGTGTACGTGTGTATATAGTTGTGTGTGTGTGTATGTATGTATATAGTTGTGTGTGTATATAGTTGTGTGTGTGTACGTGTGTATATAGTTGTGTGTATATAGTTGTGTGTGTGTATGTGTGTATATAGTTGTGTGTGTGTATGTGTGTATATAGTTGTGTGTGTGTATGTGTGTATATAGTTGTGTGTGTGTGTATGTATGTATATAGTTGTGTGTGTATATAGTTGTGTGTGTGTACGTGTGTATATAGTTGTGTGTGTGTATGTATGTATATAGTTGTGTGTGTATATAGTTGTGTGTGTGCTGGCCCAGTGATGTCCGCCTGTGTGTATTGACCAACCTGTTGTTGTTGACCTTTCCTGAACTGTTGTTATGAATATATTTATTTAATGTATTGATGGTGTGACTGTCAGGAGGAGGAGGCGGAGCGCAGGGCCATCTGGGAGGAGACTCGCATCCGGGTGAACGCCCATAACAAGGAGGCGGACCAGGGCCTGCACACGAACTGGCAGGGCCTCAACCAGTTCAGCGACAGAGTGAGTTACAGCTTCAGTGTTTAGAACATTGTTGAGATACTAGTTCTGCTACAGTCAAGCAAGTCCTGGGTTTCTCCAAGATGTCTGCCCAGGTCTTTCCAAGATGTCTGCCCAGGTCTTTCCAAGATGTCTGCCCAGGTCTTTCCAAGATGTCTGCCCCAAGGTTTCTCATTGGTTCATGCTCGCACCATGGACGTCCAAAACATCAGCAGAAGTGACGTGTTCTGATCAGCTCTGGTTCTGCTGGTCTTGTGCAGTAGTTCTACTTCCAAAGGACCAGAGAGAGAGAGACCAGAGAGAGCAACCAAAGAGAGATCAGAGAGAGAAAGACCAAAGAGAGAGAGCAACCAATGAGAGACCTGAGAGAGAGAGAGAGCGGATAGAGAGAAAAGAGACCAGAGAGAGGGACCAGAGAAAAACATTCCAATCCGTACTGAACTAGACCTTTGTGAAAGGTGTCAGCTGAGAACGTGCCGCTGTAGCTCCAGCCTGTGTGGATGGAGGCTGCAGTACCGCAGGTGGCCTCTAGTCCAGTTGGAGACATGTGTAGCTGATATATCACATCCACCCAGTCACAGAAACACTCACACATCGATGTCTGTCGTTGTAGAAACCGGAAGAAAGAATGAAAGCCTGCACTTTCGTAACCAGGCAACCGGAAGTTTCGGAACCAGGCCTGGTGTATTCGGTTCTACCCATCTACCCACCAAACATCAGCCTGATTGTGGACGCAGCAGAGAACAGCACTGTGCTCCTGCTGAACTCTACAGACACTTCATGACGAGCCTCACTCCTGCTCTTTCTGCAGATTTACCTTTGAATATGATCTTTACGTCTGTGTCTCATGGTTCATCTGTTTTAAATGAACACTTTGGATTTTGACTCTAAATCTGAAAAAGATTCATCTCAGTGAGGTTCTCCTGGTTAAATAAAGGTTAAATAAATATAAGATAATTATATTGTGACTCTAAATAGTGCCCGTCTTTATAGCAGGATTCACATTCACAGGGAATACAGACCTCTGAAGCTAAGCAGAGCAGGGCCTGGTTAGTACTGTGATGGGAGACCTCTGGGAACACCAGGTGCCACAGTGGGCCCACATTACAGTGAGTCTGGTGTGAGTGTGAATGGTTGGTGGTGGGAGGGGCTGATGGCACAGACTGGTTGCCCCAGGGCAGCTGTGGCTACAGTAGTAGTTTACCACCACCGTGTTTGGACAGAAAGAATTATGATGTGAATCGTCTTTGATAATTCAAAAAAGCGCTGTATAAAACCGAGGCATTATTTCTTCTTGTTATTATCATTATTAGATTGTGGACACAAGAGGTCCACCTGAGTTTCCTCCGAGCCTCTGCTCAGACGGCTGCACAAGCGATTTGGCAACGGGTAAAGGGGAAGAAAATTAGGAGAATATTTGACTTTACTTTTCAATGATTACTACAGTATTCTAATACATGGAGATCCCATGTGTTCCATGAGCACTGCGCTGACCTACCCCGGGCCTGTGGGGGTGTACCCGGAAAAAGAATTACTCAACCTCAGCAAGAAGATCCTGGGTTCGAATCCCGGCCGGACCAGGGCCTTTCTGAGTGGAGTTTGCATGTTCTCCCTGTGTCTGCGTAGGTTTCCTCCGGGTACTCCGGTTTCCCCTACCACTAAAAATATGTCCAATAGTTCTGGCATGCGCCTCCTGTACTGGCCCCTCCCATCTCTGTGTGGAGTGAGAGACAAGTGCCCAAAAATAATAACAATTGTAAACTGCTTTGAGACTCTGGTCGGTGAAAGGCGCTATATAAATAAAGATTACTTACTTACTTACTTCAATGCTTATGACGTCTTCTTTCCTCTCAGAGAGAAAAAGGTTTTTTCAGGATGGACCAAAAGTTACTTTTGGTCCAAGCTACGTTCCAGATCCTGTCGATGCTGAGGGAAGTTACAGATGAGTCTTCTCTCTGCTGGGAATTCACGTAAACACACAACACACGCACACACACACACGTACGCACACACCGACACACACACTGACACACACACACACACACGTACGCACACACCGACACACACACTGACACACACACACTGACATACACACACACACACGTACGCACACACCGACACACACACTGACACACACACACACACACGTACGCACACACCGACACACACACTGACACACACACACACACACTCCCAGTATTCCCACTCATCCCAGTGCAGTGATAATCCACAAACTGACCCTTAGCTGTGATTTATGACCCATCTGCACGGCCGCGACAGAGGACCCATAATGCATTTCACCCGTGGAGACGCAGCCTCGAACAGGAAGCTGGTAGCTGTGATCTGCTGTGTGTGTGTGTGTGGGTGTGTGTGTGTGTTTGTGTGTGTGTGTGTGTGTGTGTGTGTGTTGTGTGCGTGTGCGTGTGTGCGTGTGCGTGTTTACGTGTGTGTGTGTGTTTGTGTGTGTGTGGGTGTGTGTGTGTGTTTGTGTGTGTGTGTGTGTGTGTGTGAGCCGTGATGGGTTTAGACACTTGAGAATTCACGCAGCAGGGAAAAAATGTTTGGCCGTATATAGTCCATGTGGGGTTTAAGCAGAAACACCCTATCATGACAAATGCACAGATAGTCAAAGTGAAAGTAAAAATAAAACATTTATTTTTTCTGAAAAGAACAAACCATTTGTCTGAGAAAGTAAAGAACTAAATCTTTATTCTTTTTCAAATGTCTTTTTGATTGACATTTAGTGTCTCAGAACGAAACACACAAAGTGTTGTGTCAGGATTCTGCTGTGACCATTTGTTGTAAATTGTTTGCTAAGTTCTCCTTAAACGCATTAATGGCTCCTCCCTGCACAGCGCCCCCTAGTGGCCGTTTGATGCGGACATGCTTTAATGCACTTTCCTCTTGTTTTTGAGGTAATGGGCACGAGTCCACGGAGACTGATTAAACCAACAACACACACACACATACACACACACATACATACACACACATACATACACAAACACACACACACATATACATACACAAACACACATACACACACACACACGTACACTAGTGTGAGAAGCGCCTGCAGCTCCCAGATCCAGATACCACTCACACATACATACACACACACACACACACACACAGAGACACACAAACAGACAAAGACTTACACACACACATATACATACACAAACACACACACACACATACAGTACACATACGTGTACTGTATGTGTGTGTGTGTGTAGTTCATGTATGTGTGTCTGTGCAGAGGTGGGACAAAGTCATTGTTTAGCAAGTCACAAGTCAGTCTCAATTCATTGCCCTCAAGTCCCGAGTCAAGTCCCGAGTCAAGTCACGAGTCAAGTCACGAGTCAAGACAGGCAAGTCCCGAGTCGAGTCCAAGTCAAAGGCCAACAAATCTCAAGTCAGTCCCAAGTCCTACGGTTTGACTTTCGAGTCCTCTCGAGTCTTTTTGACCGCGATTTGTTTCTTGTTGGTCTCCACGTACTTTTGTAGGCAAACAAAATAATGTTAGGAATCATTTTGCTGGTGCATTCTCGTTGGTCTCTGACCCATGGACTAACAGTTTGTTCCATGTCGTTGGCTGCTGATAAATCAAAACTATCTACGTGATCTAATTGGATGTTGTGCCAGATGCAGGCTCAGTTACACATGCACAGACCACACATAAAATCAGAGCAGTCCGTGTCAACATACTTTTTATCTTTGGGGTTTTTAATGGGAAGTAGCAAGTGCAGCATATATGAATATGAGTATTGGGCTAGGACCTGTATCTATATAATCAGTTTAATGTCCGTAGTGGTTATTGTTCCAAATGTCCTACTGTAGAATAGGGGTAGTATGAGGGGTCTAGGCTTTGGACCTGGGGCAGCTCGCCATCAACTGGACCAGCATTAGCAATATCTCATAATTACCAATATATCATTACATAATAAAATGTCTCATATAAATTAATTCAATCAGTCAAAGCACTGATTCTCATATCAATGCACCATAAACAATAGTGCAAATATTAATCTAGCTTAGTGCACATAATCAAAACAACTATCTAATGTATGCAAACTTTAGCAGGAGGAGCACAGCAAAAACATACTCATAATAATAGGCCTCGGCGCCCACACAGAAAAATATAAGAAAGAGCTAACAGAGCAGCGCAGGCTAGCGCTAGTTTGACTCACCAGTTCCTCTTTAAAACACGGCACACAGTGTGACAACTGCGTCGATTCAATTGTATGAGGCGCCTGTAGTGAAAGCATATCAATTACGGTTTGTAGAACAAAGTATGACGTTAGGTCGCGATAAATACCTGCAGCTCGCTCATTTCCAGCTCCCCTACGACAACACACCCACCGGTGAATGCAGTGCGCTTGTTTAGGGAAGTGTTGCTGCGCGAACTGCGGGAAACTCACGTTCGAACTCTCGCGCGAGCGCTACAACTACCGCGAGGCTTTGTTTCTTCAGAGACGGCATAGATAGAAAGAGAGATGCGGAGAAAGGTAAAAATGGCCCGGGTTACGCAAGTCTTTACAAGTCAATTGGCGCAAGTCCAAGTGAAAGTCAGAGTCATTGATGTTAAAGTCCAAGTCGAGTTGCAAGTCTTTTTATATTTGGTCAAGTCGAGTCTAAAGTCATCAAAATCATGACTCGAGTCTGACTCGAGTCCAAGTCACATGACTCGAGTCCACACCTCTGTGTCTGTGTCTGTTTGTGTGTATGTATTGTACTAAATATTCATCTTTCTTTGGTCACACAAAGTCATCTCCGACTTTAACACAAACAACTGTTTTTCTGACTAAAGCAGATTATTATTCATTTTGTTTTGACTTTCCTTTGTTTGTCAGAGATAAAGTTTGACGTTTCACAAAGTCACTCATTATCTTTGTGCGTCTGTGTGTCTGTGTGTGTGTGTGTGTGTGTGTGTGTGTGTGTGTATCCCAAACTTATGACAGCTCATTTTGAAGTGAATGAAACTCGTTCTTATGCAGAAGTGTGGATCAGAAACATATAAATTATTAAGTGTTGCTGATTACAAGACGAGCTTTGACACGTGTGACTCCTGCACAACCTCAGACGCAGCTTTAATATGAACAGTCACAATAAAAGAAACCTTAAAAAACCTTAAAAAACCGTTGGATCCAGGACCGTGATCAGAGACGTTTGTGTTTTAACAAAAGTCCTGCAGAGGTTCATTTTAGAATCACTTTTAATAATTCTCACCCGGTCACAGCCTGAACCGGGTCAGGTACCGGTGTCTGTTCTTCGTCAGCCATTACACACACACACACATACACGTTTTTGTTACCTGGTGGGTCCCTTTGACAGGGCCGTTCAGAATGGGACCCATAGACATAATCTTTTTTTACCAAGACTTTAAGTAATACAAAACAGTCAATAGAAAACAAACAACTATTTTAAAGGAATTTTATTTTAGATTTTGTTTTCGAATTGCAGTGATTCTATTTTTGACATAGAATTTAATGCCACTCCATGTCCGATGTCTAAGGTCATCTGGTGAGGCATTAATGCAGGCCAGGCAGTGAGACTTCCCAGGGACCTTTCCAGTCTGTATGAAAGGTGTCATGGTCTTCTCCACAGCCTTCACCTCAGATGCAGACCATGGCTTTCTCTAACGTTCTAGGGAGAGAAATAAAAATATATTAGCAATATACACTCCCAGGGTTAGGACCAAGCAGCCTGGCTGTAATCCCCCACCTGGTACACTCACCAGAAGGGGCACTGCCACTACCAGGGTTTCCTCCAGAGGGGGGG